TGAGGGGAGACAAGAACCGCCTCTCTCCCCCCAGGCTTCTCGGCGGCTGCCTCTCCTCATCTTTTAACTGCATCCCTTACTTTGGCTCTGCGTATTCAGCCTCTTCCTCGTGAGGCCTGCGGCGGCAGAGCTGCCAGGCAGCCATCTTGGCCCCCCTCCCCGCCTGCCTCCTCCTCGTCTCCTGCCCAGCACCTCTGTTTGACTGGCAGCTGGCTGCCCTGATGCCGGCAAGCGCCCCTGAGCAGGGGCGGCCTGGACGGCCTCTACGGCGGCCTCGCGCCCTCGCCTCCACAGGCGCTGCCCGCAGGACCCACCAGGGGGCGCTCTCCCCGCGGCCGACCTGCTGACCGCCACCGGGCATGCTCCGCCCGGCTGCCTGGCTCGGGAGGATTGGCTGTGAGTTGCACTGTGGGAAGCGGTGGGGGGCTGGCAGGAGCCTCCGGGCAGCGGCGAGCAGCCCCCCTTCCACCCGTAGGCAGAGCCTTCCCAGAGAGGAGCGAGAAAGTGCGGCTCCCCCACACAGCCCCGGAGCCGGTGGCGAGAGGGAGGGACCGCGGATTCCCCGAAAGGGTTTGCTGGACTCCTAATCCCGAGCCTTGGAGGGAGGGGGAGACCCCCCCACCCATTACCGCTCCTGGCCTGTGCACGCAAGAGATCGGACCCTGAGGGGGGAGGGAGGGAGGGAAAGAGTGGGGCGGAGGGTAGGAAGCCTAAAGGAACTCACATTGTGCATAAACCAGGTTTGCTTCCCAGCATTTCTAGCAAACAGGAATCTGAGAAAGCGGATTTCTCCCCCTGGCGTTCCTCCACCCTCTCCAAATGGTCCTGTTTCAAGCTTTTCCTGGGGAGTGTTGGAAAGGTTCAGTTTGGTGCCTCAAATGTCTTTCATGGTGGGGCTGGAAAGACCCCCAAGAATCTTTCAGCTGCCAGTGGAGCTGAGCTGCACTTCCCCAGAAGACACCCCCCAAAATGAGGGCAGGGGAGCAAGGGATGATGGGAGGGAGGGACAGATGTTGCACTGAGCCTAAAACATATCTTGATTTTGTCCCCCCTCCAAACTGTTACTTTGTCTTGATTTTGATTAAACAATCACAGTTACTAAGTGAGAACAATCTGTGTAATTCCTGAAGTTTGCTTTCCTTTCCACCTCAGAAATAAAAGCTGGAGGTCACTTGGGAGCTGAATGACTTGAAAAACTTCTCCTGGCCTCTCTGTGCAATTCATGCAGATCCTAGGACTGAAAAGACCTTTGGAGGCCCAGGAGATCCGCAGGCCCCTTCTGGATCTATGTTAGAGAACGGACCGAACATGGACGCAAACCAGCCAGCGTGCGAGGGAGTGGGAAAAGGCCGTGCTGCTGCTCAGCCCGGGAGCTGTGGGGAGGTCTGGACAGGAACCGGGCAGAAGATCCTGGAGGAGGAAGCCTTCAGCTCTGAGATCCAGCACTGGTGCTTCAGGAACAGTCCCTTTCAGGAGGCTGAGGGGCCGCGAGAGCTTTGCAGCCGCCTTCACCGCCTTTGCTGGGGGTGGCTGCAGCCAGAGAAACACACCAAGGCCCAGATGTTAGACCAGGTGATCTTGGAGCAGTTTCTGGCTGTCCTGCCCATGGAGATGCAGTGCTGGGTACGGGAGTGCCGAGTGGAGACCAGCTCCCAGGCGGTGGCCCTGGCCGAAGGCTTCCTCCTGAGCCTGGCGGAGGAGGAGCAGGAAGGGCGCCAGGTGAGAGATGCTCATTTTGGGAAATATGAAGGGGTACTAATGTGTTTGAATTCTTAAATCTCTCCCTAATAGAATTTTTGCAATTCATAATACAACAAGATATTTACAGAACATCATTAGAGAAATTGTTCCTGTGTTCTTCCAGGGGACATATTTGGAGCAATTCTCCCATCCCCACGAATGGACAAAGAGGGCTTGCAATGTTGTGGGAAAAAAATGAAAATCCAGTTCCTCTTCTGTTCTCTTACTCCTCTTCTTTGCCTATATTTCAGGTTCCTAGGGCCTTCCAGGAGGTAGGCGTTAATTGTCCGAAGGAAAGGGTGGATCCTGTAAATCCCTGTCAGGAGTCATATTTCAGAGGGATCTCCAAAGAGGAGGGCCAACATCAGGACACCTCATTAGGTAAGGGAAGATCCTTCTACATGGTTGGAGGTTTTCCAGAGAGATTCTAGTTATTCTTAATTCTCTGCAACTTCTCGTGTCTAGTGGTTGGACTTACTAGAAGGTGACTGAACGAGAAAGACTTAACTCTTCAAGCTAGAAGGCTTAAGTCCCACAAAGGAAGTCCTTCCCTTCAGTCAATGCACTACCTTCAGATGATTCCCCATTTGCAGAAGAATGACCTCTTCTGAGGAATGCCCTGGACTGCATTCTGACTCCTCCATCTTAGAGATATTTCCCTTTGTTCTCAGATATGGAGAGAGGAGCAATCTCTCTTTGGCCTTTCTTGATAGAAAATTTTTAGAAAATTCTCACACATATCCCTGTTGGACCATCTCCGACACCATCTACTCTTGCAGGCATCTTACTGAGGTGCCACAATTTTATCAGTTGCCCATCCACATGGAACGTAATGCTTTCAAGCTGTGGGGTGGTGGGGAGCATCTACATGGTTGAGTGAATGCTTTAGTTGCCAAGAGTATACTTCTTTGTCTCCTTCCTGCCCAAAAGGTAAGAAGAGAGGTCCAATTAGGGTTTGTTCCCCATGCTCTTTTTCACATTTTCTGGGCTGCTCAACCAGCTGCAGCCTCTGACTGATGTGCTGATCAGTCAGTGTGTGGTTTGGCTGTGGTCTTCTTTTATTCTTGGCTCCCATGATGGGGCCCGTAGACAGCCACTGAAGGCGGAGGGTAGGACTGACAAATGGAGATTTCCTATGCAGGACAGGAAGAAGTTTTAAGTCGTGCCGTCAAGCTGGAGTTTATCCCTTTCCTGTCAGCTCCATTTCTGGTGACAACCACAACTCTTCTTCCATCCCGTCTCTCTCCTTCCCAGAGAACAAAATGGAGTCACTGTTATTCATTGGATCATCTACTTGTACTGGTGAAGCTGAAAGAGCAGCTGGACCTCCAGCTCAGGTAGGAAGGAAAAGATTTGGGGCTAAAATGGGGGAGTAGTTGGAGATCCCTTTCATTTGGGACCTCAATATATGATACTGGTGTTCCTGAGCCACACAAACAGGGAACTTAGGATTCAAGTTAGTGATCAGTCACACTCAGCTTACCTCTGAAGACAGTTTTGGAAATATATTGAATTCTTTTGTGGTTATGTACTGCTGGACTCAAAAAATGACACCTGGCAGTTCACACTATAAAACATAAGAACCAATAAAACAAAACTAACAGGCAAAATGATGATCTCCTCTGGAACAGTACCATCTTTGATCATTTTTGGAAGGCCAATAATGAGACTACCAACTTAATTTGCAGAAACAAAGTGGGATAAAAGATCTACACTGAGAGTTATTCCTTCTTTTCAAAATGTTCAGAGCTTTCTGGAGTATAAGGAGGTTTACAATAAAGGGTTAGGACCGAAGACACCCCAACTCCGGCTTGGCTTTTAACAACTGCATCTGTGCTGTTTCTGAGCTGCATTACAGAAGTGCTTTTGTATATACTCTTCCCAGCTTTTTCAACTGTTTTGTCTAGGAAAGAGATGTAGTGGTCCCTCATCCATTGAGTAACCCAGGCCTGAATCTGCTTACTTGAGAAGATCACCTGAGGGCATCTGGAGTTGCCACCTGCTGGGGCCCCCTTTTCCATAACTAAATCTTTCAGGAGACAGGAGTACAATTAATGCACAATTTCGTTACCTCAGGGATCATCATCTTTGGGGAGAACCTGCCATGCTACATGGGCTAGATATAGAGGATGCTGTGTGCAACCACCTCTTGAGAGATCAGGGGATGGTTTTATCATATAACATGTTGAGTCCAGCTAGGAAAATGTCCAATTAAGCATTATAACTCTGTGCTTTTAGGATTTGCAGATTAAAGGAGATCTTGCAAGTTCTCGAGTCAGCTAATAGGGATTCTTCCTTGTTCAGGGTCCTGTGTCCTTTGAGGAGGTGGCCGTTCATTTCACCAGTGAAGAGTGGTCGCTGCTGGATTCCAGCCAAAAAGCCCTGCACCGAGAAGTCATGTTGGAGACGTCTAGGAGCGTGGCCTCCTTAGGTAAGGGTACCTCTGGAGGAAAATTAAGTCAAAGTGAGGAGTCACTGCTGGATTCCAGCCAAAAAGCCCTGCACCGAGAAGTCATGTTGGAGACGTCTAGGAGCGTGGCCTCCTTAGGTAAGGGTACCTCTGGAGGAAAATTAAGTCAAAGTGAGGAGTCACTAGACTGTTTTCTGCTATTTACAGTTTAGACTCTCAGTGCAGGTCTTGTTAAAATGATGTCATCTTTCTCTTTTCCTCTTACATTAATTACAGTCCACGTCTGCAGTCTTCTAAGTACCACAGTTTCATTTAGAAGAAAGAGATCAGTCTGGAAAGGGTTGACAGGCAGTCTTGGGATCTTCTTTGGGGCCTGTGTCAATACTGCACAGCTACTGGGAAGATAAATAGGGAGGGGATGTTCTTGCTTATTTCACTTGCACTAATCAGCGCCATATTTTCTTACACAATGATATTGCAATGTCATGCATGTTGTGGCATCGGATGCAACTTAGGTGCATCACATTTGACACCAGTGCTTATGCCATAATATGATGACAAGACCTGGGCTGCAGGGCACTGTGTTATTCTTTGTTATGTTCTTGTTTTAAATTGTTGTTGATCACCCAGAATATCATGAGATGAGCAGCCATGCCAATTGTTTAAATTAATAAATAACATTCATTCTGTCATTTCCCCCATTGCTCCCCCTGCAGATCCCCGGAATTGATGCAGGCTAGGGACTGGCACGGGGATAGCAAATTCTATGTTGTAGAGTTTTCTGATTTCTTTTTTCTTTTTTCCCCCTCAAGCAGTTGATGAGGAGGTGAATGAAAATTGCCAAGAGCCAAGTGTAGTGCCATCAGAAATAATCAAAACTGAAATACCAGAAGAGACTTTTGCAGATAAGTGGGGAAGGAGGAGATATGAGAAAAACCAATCCTACAACTGGAGAGAAAAATCCACTATTGAATGTGAGGAAATGGATCACTTTCTCACCCAACATGATTGCAAAGAAAGCAGTGTGGGAAAGTGTCGAAGAAGTGGTGAAGTAGTCCAAGCAAAATCCATTTCAAATAATCACTGCAAAATTGGAAAGAGCTTCAGCAATAACATTATTCCCCACAAAATGATCCATGGAAGGGAGAAGCCCTATAAATGTGTGAACTGTGGAAAGAGCTTTAGGTGGAGTAGTAATCTAACCTCCCATAAAAGGATCCATTCAGGGGAAAAGCCCTATAAATGCATAGATTGTGGAAAAAGCTTCCGTATGAACAGTTCCCTTATTTTTCATAAAAGGATCCATACGGGAGAGAAACCCTATAAATGCGTAGATTGTGGGAAAAGCTTCAGTATAAGCAATTCCCTTAGTTATCATAAAAGGATCCATACAGGGGAGAAACCATATCAGTGTATAGAGTGTGGGAAGAGGTTCAGCCAAAGCAGTTCCCTTACTTCCCATAAAAGGGTCCACACAGGAGAGAAACCCTATAAATGCACAGAGTGTGGAAAGAGCTTCAGTTATAGTGGTTCCCTTACTTCGCATAGCAGGATCCATTCAGGGGAAAAACCTTATAAATGCACAGACTGTGGAAAAAGCTTCAGTATGAAGAGTTCCCTTATTTCTCATAAAAGGATCCATACGGGAGAGAAACCCTTTCAATGCATAGAGTGTGGAAAGAACTTTAGCACAAGCAGTGACCTTAATTCCCATAGCACAATCCACACAGGGGAGAAAAAATATGCATGCATGATGTGTGGAAAGAACTTCAGGTCAAGGAAACAACTTACTTCCCATAAAAGGAGGATGCATACAGCGGAAAAACCCTATAAGTGCACGGACTGTGGAAAAAGCTTCAGTATGAACAGTTTCCTTAGTTCTCATAAAAGAATCCATATGGGAGAGAAACCCTATCAATGCATAGAGTGTGGGAAGAACTTCAACACAACCAATGACCTTACTTCCCATAAAAGGGTCCACACAGGAGAGAAACCCTATCAATGCCTGGAGTGTGGAAAGAGCTTCAGTATGAACAGTTCCCTTACTTGTCATAAAAGGATCCATACAGGAGAGAAAAAATATGCATGCATGGTGTGTGGAAAGAGCTTCATGTGGAGCAATCAACTTACTTCCCATAAAACAATGCATACAGGGGAAAAACCCTATAAATGCATGGACTGTGGAAAAAGCTTCAGTATGAACAGTTCATGCATACAGGGGAAAAACCCTATAAATGCATGGACTGTGGAAAAAGCTTCAGTATGAACAGTTCATGCATACAGGGGAAAAACCCTATAAATGCATGGACTGTGGAAAAAGCTTCAGTATGAACAGTTCCCTTACTTCTCATAAAAGGATCCATACAGGAGAGAAACCCTATCAATGCATAGAGTGTGGAAAAAGTTTCAGTAAGAACAGTTCCCTTACTTCTCATAAAAGGGTCCATACAGGAGAGAAACCATATCAATGCATGGAGTGTGGGAAGAACTTCAGCAGAAGCAGTGAGCTTACTTCCCATTATACGGTCCACACAGGAGAGAAACCCTATCAATGCATAGAGTGTGGAAAGAGTTTCAGTAAGAACAGTTCCCTTACTTCTCATAAAAGGATCCATACAGGAGAGAAACCCTATAAATGCATAGAGTGTGGAAAGAGCTTCAGTATGAGCAGTTCCCTTACTTCTCATAAAAGGATCCATACGGGAGAGAAACCCTATAAATGCATAGAATGTGGGAAGAGCTTCAGCACAGGATGTAACCTTACTTCCCATAAAAGGATACATACGGGAGAGAAACCCTATAAATGTATGGAGTGTGGGAAGAACTTCAGGACAAGCTGTAACCTTACTTCCCATAAAAGGATCCATATGGAAGAGAAACCTTACAAATGCATGGAGTGTGGGAAGAGCTTCAGGACAAGGTGTAATCTTACTTCCCATAAAAGGATCCATGTAGGAGAGAAACCCTATAAATGCATAGAATGTGGGAAGAGCTTCAGCACAAGCAGTGACCTTACTTCCCATAAAAGGCTTCACCCAGGGGAGCGACCATAGAAATGTCCTCAATGTAGAAAAAAGTTTTTGTGAAAACAGGACCCTTACTTCTCATAACAGTATCCATATTGGAGAGAAAAAAATATACATGCATGATGTGTGGAAAAAATATGGTGCAATCTACTTACTTCCCATAAAAGGACCCATATAGGGAAACATAGAAAGGGATGGAATGCAAACAGAGCTTCAGTCAAGAATTGTGAACTGATTTCTCTTAACAGGCTCCACATGAGGGAAATAACATGCATGCATGTAGCATGTGAAGAGCTTCAAGTGGATTTTGTATATGTACGTGTGTGCCTTCAAGGTAGTTTTTGACTCCTGGTGACTGCCTGGACTAGTCCCTGCAGTTTTCTTGGCAAGGTTTTTTGGAAGTGGTTTGCCATTGCCTTCTTCCTAGGGCTGAGAGTGACTGGGCCAAGGTCACCCAGCTGGATTTGTTATTAGGGCAGAACTAAAATTCATGGTCTCCTGGTTTCTAGCCTGGTGCACTAACCACTACACCAAACTGTTTCTTTCAAGTGGAATAGGACCCTTATTTTCCATAAATAAGGTATTGGAGGTGGGTGGGGGAGAAACTTTATAATGCATAGAATGTGGGAACAGTTTGAAAAGGAAGTATCCACTTGGGAGAGAAATCCTGTGAATGCAAGGAGGGTGGGAAGAATTTCAGCAAGAGCAATTCCCTTAGTTCACATGAAAGGATCTACATGGAAATGTGTGTCTGGGAGAAGACACAGCTGGAGTCTTACTTTCCATGAAAGGAGAAACTGTATAAGTGGAAGAAGTGTAATAAGAACTTCAATACAAGGAGCTTTCTTATTTCCCAGAAAAAGTTCCATGCAGAAGAGACAGTATAAATGTATGGAACACAAAGAGTGAGCCTGTTGAGCTAACCCTCATGAAGAACCAGGCTGGGCACGCCTCGTCAGCAGTGGAAGCAAGAAGATGGCAAAGGTCAGCTGGGGCAGTGGAGTGCAGGGGGGCAGAGGTCTCAGAGTGTAAGATGGCAAAGGCGACTGTGGCATGGACTGGGCTGTGGTGGCTGTGGCTTTGTGCTGCCCTGCTGGGCCAGGCTGGAGATGGGTTTTGTGGTGCACTGTGGCTCTGGGGCAGCCCCAGAGCCATGGCACACCAAGGAGCCCCTTTGCACCATGCTCCTAGGCCAGACTGGGGCTGCGCTTTGTGCTGTGTGCTGCATTGCACTGTGTGCTATGCTGCAGCTCTGGGGCAGCCCCAGAGTCATGGTGCGCCAAAAAGCTGGTTTGTGCCACGCTCCTGGGCTTCGCACAGAGGGGCTTTTTGGCAAGCTGCAACTCTGGGGCTGCAAAAAGCAGCTGCAGCACAATGCAAAGCTGGCAGCCAGGCTGGGCATGCCTCCTCAGCAGTGGGAGCAAGAAGATGGCAAAGGTCAGCTGAGGTGGCATGGGTCTTGGAGTGCAAGGTGGCAAGGGTGACTCCGGCTTCCCAGGGTGTGGCAAGCAGCCCCAGAGCCACATGGTTTGGGGGCTACTTGCCCCACAAGGGGGGGTACAGGTTGGCCAAAAGGGCAGAGATGGGGGGGATAGGTGGGTGGGGGGAGTTGGAGGTAGTCTCTTACCTTACTGAACCTTGGGGATGGGAGGGATCAAGCCCGGAATGGCTTGGATTAGGGTGGGTCCTTGGCTAACAACTGGCAGAATTCACTTAACGACTGCATGGGAGTGGTGAGATTACTGTCGCAATGCGATGCGGTCGCATGACATGTTGCTTTACAACCACATCGCTTAGTGATGGAAATTCTCATCCCAACTGTGGTGATAAGTCGAGGACTACCTGTATGCCTATTTAGCTTAGAAGATCTCTGGGTGAAAGTTGTATTAATCCTGCTGAAAGCAGAAGTGTCGCCAGTGAGTTTATGATTGCAGCTGTTTCCTCTTTACGTTAAAAATGGTTTTACTGATGCAGTAGTGTACCATATGAGCAATATTTTTTTTAAAAGGAG